CACCACAACATGAGGAACTGTATTAAAGGGTGGTGGCATGAGAAAGGTTGAGAACCACTGATCTACAGAATCGTATCTCCCCCTCCTTGCCATCTGGCATGGGTCTCTGATGGCCTGGTCCGTTTGCTTTCTCTGAAGCTGGCGTTTTGGGATAGAGTTGGAGATTTGATGCCTGACCATGGTCCTGCGGCCTCTTTCCACTCTTTTTTCCATTCTCCTAAGACATCTGACATGGATTTGTGTTAAAGCTGCCTGATGGCTTCCCTCAAGCAAATGATCATTTCCTCGAATTATCTCAGTTGTTCCATTAGGTTGGCTGCTTGGGTAGGGGTGGGGGTAGAGGTGTGTGTGTGTGTGTGTGTGTTGGCTGCTTGGGTAGGGGTGGGGTTAGAGGGGGTGGGTTGTGTGTGTGTGTGTGTGTGTGTGTGTGTGTGTGTGTGTTTCCTTGAGTCCACGCTTCTCGGGTTGGCCTTTGAGTCTGAAGACTCAAGAAGAGTACTGCACCCCAGGGTGGATTGAGCAGCTTTGTGGGTCTCTGTGATGTTTCCATTTGGGAGAGGCTTTTTTGAGCCTAATTCCCTTCCCTCCTTCCTAGATTCGTATTATAAAAGCAATGTATTCCCACGATTAATCTTACAAAAATATATAATGTTAAATTGTAAATGTAATCCCACCCCCTGAAGGAACTACCTCTCATAAGTAGTTCCGTTCTTCTGAGCCTCCGCTCTACAGCTGCAATCACATAGATGGTTATAGATCTGTGGACTCTTCTTTAATGTTCTTTTTCAGCTTAATTTACAATAAGCATACTGCAACCCAGCATGTTTTGGAATAAGTAAACTCTGATCATTTTAATTTCACTTTTCCCAGTTATAACTAACTTATAGGGCTGGGATAATTTTTCATAAAGTAATAGTAACTCCCTCTGATTTTGCATGCAGTGGTATTGACGAGGCCTAAGATTTTTTGCCTTAAAAAAAAATTTTTTTTTTTTAAGAACCTTGTTTGCGTAGTGGTTTGAGCATCGGACTAACAGGAAAGTCAGTGGTTCAGACTCACCTGGGAGAGAGACTGGGGTATCTGCTCCTGTGAAGACTCACCTCAGAAACCTGCAGGCGCAGTTCTACTCTGCCCTGTGGGGTCACTGTGAGTGGACTTGAGGGCTGGGCTGTAAGGGGGGGGGCCGGGGGGCAGTGTAGAGTAGCTTTGATTGTGTTCCTACAAACCATTTCCACACCAGGACCTTGCTTCCCTAAAAGCTTCAGAACCCAAGTGCAGAAAATAGGGCTTAGGGCGATTGTACGAGTGAGGCTATATAGAAATGCATACAGGTGGGGACATGCACTCACACATTTGGGGTGCGCCCACATAAGAAAGTGGGAGCTGACTGCCCTGCCATCTTTTGTCACTTGGCCAGTGTGTTGAAAGGAAGAAAAGGCCAAGCTGGCACTAACAGTGACTTGTTATTTTCAGCCTCAGGGATGTCAGAAAGGACTAGAGCATTTAGAATGTGTATTTCGAGTAGGGGCACTGCTTCTGAGAGGCCAGTGGTAGGGGGAAGCCCCTCACCTCACCCCGTCCAGCCAGAGAACAGTGAAGCAGTCTCTTCCTAGCTGTGCAACTGCCCTAGAAGCGCAGGGCTTTGTAAGTCACAGGATCTGTAGGCCCCAAAGGACAGTGAGCCAGCGGGGCCTAGAGGGAGAGTCAGGCCTTAGAATCCGCCCATTTGAATCAAGTGAGAATGTTAGTGATGGTTTGGTTTCAGTGACAAAGTTCTCAAACCTTCAGCAACCAAGCTCACAGGAAATGATCTCGAGAGAGCGAGCCAGTAGCAACGAGAGAGAGAGAGAGAGAGAGAGAGAAGATTTTAGATGGAGGAGAAGAGTTTGAAGGTCATTTAATTAGTTTAGTGGATAGTACCATGGTGTATAGAATTGGGTAGTTAAGACTGGGATTTCAAGGTTAATGAGATTAAATTATGGTTAATAGAATGATATAAATTTAGAGACTTTAACCATTATTTGAAATGGGTTATTTAATAAAAATGTTAATTAAGAAGGGAAGCTGGCTGTCGAGATTGTCCTTTAAAGGTAACCTTTGGGGGCTGGAGAAAGGTCAAGGAGTTTTCCTGTGCAGGCGCTTCGCTGGGAGGCACCGGCAGGCCACGCCCCCACGCCACGCCCCCCTCAGGGGCCGCCTTGACCTAAGCTCTTGCCCCACCTCCAGCTTCTTGTTTTTCACTTTCAGAACTCACTGAAGTGGAATTCCGGCCTGCTGCGTTGATATGCAGGCCTTTAATGATTTTTATTAATTAAGGCTCAACGTGGTCCTAAAAAACTTAAAAGACTACGTTAGAAAATAGTTCATGAAACCTAGTTGGGGTTCACTTTCAGATCTAGATACTGTGCAGTCAATACTAAAGCCCCCTCAATTCTTAACTCTTCCTCTCCCTCCACCACCCCCAAAGTTGGTAGGGATCGGGCAAAGCTGTCAAAGATCCAGCACTAAATGGATCGGGTAACATCTGGTACCCCAACTTGAATGACCCTGGCGGAAAAGAAGTGCAAAGGTTAAAAAAACAAAAGACCTGAAATGTCTGTTTCTGTTTCGAATGTTTGAAGTCAGTGCCTACGTTGTGTGTGTATTTCATCAAAATGTGTTTGAGAGAACTGCCTTATGATATAGAACAGGCAGCCAAGGGAAGAGTTCCCTGGTGATTCTGCCCTCTGGACTGGTCATGAAGGTGTTTCATTTCTGATTTGAGATTATGGAGGTGCTGATTCCTGGGACAAGAGCCCTGGTGGTCTAGTGGTTATGAGGTGAGCTGCGATCCTCATAGTTGGCAGTTTGAAACCACCAGCAGCTCCGAGGGAGACAGACTGAGCTTTCCATCCCTGTAAACCCGCGGTTCCCAACCTGTGGGTCGTGACCCCTTTGGGGGTCGAAAGACCCTTTCACAGGGGTCGCCCACTTCATAACAGGAGCGAAATTATAGTTATGAAGAAGCAACGAAAATAATTTTATGTTTGGGGTCACCACATAAGGAACTGTATTCAAGGGTCTCGGCATTAGGAAGGCTGAGAACCACTGCGGTGTAAACTGTTACAGCCCCAGAAACCCCACGGGGGGCGGGTGTCACAATGAGTCAGTATTGAGTCAGCAGTGAGAGGGATGTTCTCCGGGCAGGTCTTGCAAGGAAAGGCAACACCATGTATGGTTCAGCAGCCCCCGTTCTGGGTGTCGAAATGGACTTTGGAGGGAGAACGGAGCAAGTCCGTCTGTGCCTGATGGATGATGACTAGGAAGCAGGCCCATCTTATCATTAAAGCAGTTTTTCATGAGACGCTGACAGGAACAGAGAATAGGTAAGGGCACACGAAGCTGAAGGAGAGCATCAGTCTTGGGAACTGGCCCAGCGGAGAGGCCCACAGTCCAGAGGAGTGGTCAGAAGAGACCCAGTTATGTCAAGCTGATGAAGGCAGAAAGAGCAGCAAGTGAACTCTCTCTGCGAGGGACAGCCGAGGACTCCCTGGGCAGACGCCCTTGTCAACCTGGAGGAAGTCCCGCTCTGTGCTCTCGTGGCCGGCCAGGTGGCTAGGCCGCCCCTAGGGTCTAATGGGTAGCCCAGGGAGTCTCGTTTTTCTGTTCCCTCCAGGGCCTGGGAAATGGTGAACAAAGCCTCAGGTGTGGAGCCTGAGAGCGTCAGAGAAATCCGTCCCTCTTCCACTACAGGCCAGAATGCGAACCCTACACCATACCTCTCTCTGCTGTTGTAGTTCCGGGTGTTTTAAGACACCTGTCGAAAGCTTCATGTGTGTGTCCGTGTGTAATCAAAACGATACGAGATTTGCGTTTCCTTTCAAAGCTGAGGTCAGCAGCTTTAGCCTGGCCTCTAGCCTAGTCCTAACAGACCCGCAGACACCAAGAGCGGTGAGCTACCCACAAGCCCTCCTGTTCCTCCCCGCCCCCTCCCCTCTCCCGTTCACATCTCCCCCCACCACAGGAGTGTCCTGCCAGTCCATGGTGGTCTCGCTGACCTAGAAAGAACCGTGCACAGTCCAAACCCGGAGCCAGGGCTGGACTTCAGACCAGCCTTGCAGATGACCCCCCAGCACTCACTCACCGACCCTGGTTTCTTGTTCCTTGACCTAGAGGACTTTTCCCTTAAAATCCCCACAGAATGTCATTACCTTAAAAGATCAAGTACATTTACCACTTCCCTCGAGGCCCCGCATCCACCTGTGATTGTCCCCCAAGTGTGCATAAAACCGCTTATCTGCTCGATCGCCAGGCCTCGGGCAGACTTTTCAGATTCAAACATTTCAGTACACCAAGAAAAGTCCGTTCAGTTTGGGATGCACAGTTTTGCTTACCTCTCTGGTGCAGCGCCCAGGAAAAAAAAATGACTAGCAAGCCATCTTTTATGTACACTGCACCCAGCTGTTCCTTGACCCAGGGGCCTAGTGGCACAATGGGCTGGGCTGCCCTGCACAGCGAGGGTCTGAGCACCTCGCCATCTTAACGCAATTAAGGATATGACTGTGCAGTCTTTGTGGCTTTAAAAATCTGGCCCGCCCAACCATGGCCGCCACTGCTTCCTTCCGACCATAGAGCCGTGATGGATGCCCTGGAAGGAGATCAAATTAAAAAGAGCAGTGCGGTGAGAGACCACTCTCCCCATGAAAGCAGCACCAGCCCTTCAATTCGGGAAGGTGGAGCGCTGTCATTTGTAGCTTCCCACCCGTCTGGTCCGGGCAGCCTTCTATTTTCCCCAGGACTTACTGTCTAGCAGGGGATGAGATGGTGACATGGTAACATTTATTTCCTCCCCAGGGGGCCAAATCAAGCTCAGGGTTTGAGGTTTGATGCCTCTCTCTAGTCTCCATTATGGAGTGGAAGCTCATCAATCCAAATTCGGTTTCAGCACAATTGGCCAGGGCCAGGTGTGGTCTGGATGCAAGGAAGCCCTCACCCCCTAACTAAGGTGGCCAATCCCAAACTGGAGAGCAAAATGCATGCAAACAATTCGCCAAACCAGTTTGTAACAATAAACGTGCAGCCGTTAAACCTCTGCGTTCACTTCCCTCTGCTAGAATCAGAGTAAGTAACCCAATTCAAGTTAAAGATACCTTTTCTCAGCCTTCTCTTTGGAAACAAGAACCGGAAAAAACCCACGAAGCCTTGACAAATAAGGCAAGAGTGGTATGGAGCCTACAAAGTTTCACCTCTCACCACACTGTTGACTGTGAGCTAGCCTTTCCAGTGGAATCGGTGGCCCTGCCGGGAGTTCCTCTGCTGGGAGCCTGCAGCCAGCTGCCAGGCCAGCCTTTCACGCACAGCCCTTGAGGAATCTTGAGGCTGAGTGGCGAAAAAGAATCTATGTTCAGAGCTGCAACAAAGCCTCAGAGGGTGCTTGGCTGGAGGGCTACCCCAGTCTCATGCCCTGCATTCCACAGGAAGTTACAATGCAGAAAACACTGGCAGGGCCAAGCCCAGCTGCCCACCCCTTTACTGCCAAGAAAGGGTAAATGGGTTAAAAGCAGGGACGCCCAGGTTCGCAGCCCACCTCAGCCACTTTGAGGCCCGTGGTCTTAGGCAAGCTGTTTAACCTTTTCTGTGCTTTCACTCCCTCCTCTCCACTGGCACCTACTCCACTGGCAGGACCAGAGACTTCCGGCAAAGTGTTTAACAACTGCCCGAGACACATAGTAAGCCCTCAGATGTTAGCTATTACTGTTAATTGGACAGAGAGATTAAGTGTCTGCTGTGGGCCAGGCGCCGGGCTTGCCTCTGTGAATACAGCCACGTACCCTCCCCTCGGGGATCTCGAACAACATTTTCGTCTTTCCATCCCACGAGGAACAACATTTTTGTCTTTCCATCCCACGAGGTTATCCGCACCTGTGACGCTTCCTGCACCCCCCACCCCCACCCCAAGCAGCCCCTAGGCACTTGAGAACTTCAGCTAGGAGGGGCTCCCCCCTCCACTGACTCCCCATCTCCCCGCACCCTTGCCACCACTGCAGGCCAGGCCACTGGGTGCTAACCTCTTCTTCGCACCCTCTGTGGGCCAGGCCAGGGCAGACATCTGGAGACTAGCTCGCTGCACAGCAGGCCGCCGCCGTAAGGGGACACACACCCAGACCGAGCGGGCCGGCGCCCTCCACCTTCAGCTGTGGGCGCCTGCAGCTGAGTCAATATTGTCCCTCTGCCTGCGTTCATGTTCTGTTACACGTGAGAGAAGCACCGCCCTCTCCTAACCTCCACCATCAACTATGCAATGAGAGAGAGAGAAGGTGGTATTCATATTTCGCAGTGGTTCTCAACCTTCCTAATGCCGCGACCCTTTAATACAGTTGTGGTGACCTCTCCCCAACCATAAAATTAATTTTTTTTAATCATTTTATTAGGGGCTCATACAACTCTTAACACAATCCATACATACATCCATTGTATAAAGTGCATTTGTACATTCATTGCCCTAAAAATTATTAATATTTTGTCTTAAAAAAATTTTATTGGGGGTTCGTACCGCAATCCATACATACATCCATTGTGGCAAGTACATTTGTACATTTGTTGCCATCATCATTCTTAAAACATTTGCTTTCTACTTGAGCCCTTGGTATATCAACTCCTCATTTTCCCGTCCCTCTCCCCCATAAAATTATTTTCGTTGCTACTTCATCACTCTCATTTTGGTACTGTTATGAATCGGGCAACTCCTGTGAAAGGGTCATCCGACTCACAAAAGGGTCGCCACCCACAGGTTGAGAACCGCCGCTCTAGCGCGTCCTATGATCTGTCTAGAACGGAGAAGCTTGAGGTGTGCGCCGTGCAGGTCCCCGAGGGGCAGCCCCGGAGTGCTGAGGGAACCTGGCTATCTTAAGATTTGTGGAATCTTTTTTTTTTTTTTTTGGTCTCCTGGCAGGTGATCTTTTTTTTCCTCCTGGAAACCAGTTAGCTACTAAAATTAACCACGCTCCTCTCCGAATTAATCCTTCTCAAACGGTGGTCTTCCAGGCCCTGCTCGCTCTGCCACTGAAGGAGCTGCCCCAATTGTACAGGAGCCCTGGCTTGCCGAGCCCCATCCCCCCACCATGGCCAGGTGCTCGCCACCTTTGGGCGTACGGCCTTGGCCAGCCTCATCTCGGCAAATGCCACAAGATCCACTCTGGGGACAGCAGGTCGATCGTCCGGTTCTCCGCCCAAGCAGGCGATGGCAAGCGGCAGAGTTTTCATCCTGTAAATTCCGGTTCCGGTCAGATTAGCCAGGAGATCAGCGGCCTGCTGGTGGTTCTGCAGCGATGTATTGTTTCTGGGATTAATGTTCCGAGGGCCAGGGGTGTCAGCTGATAGTTCTTAAGTTAAGCGCTCTCAGCTGTTCTGGTTCAGCAGCTTGCTCCCTGGTCACCGGGAATGTGGGCTCAGCAGGCGTGGACCAGGGTGTCTCTCTCTCTCTGGCATGCTCGTGCCTGTGCTGCAGATACAAGGGCAGAGCTCTGGTTTTGTTCTGAGGCCTCTCTGCACCCCTGGAAGGTCGGGATGGGGAGGGTGCTCAGGGGGCAGGGCGGGCGTTCAGGTGTGGCTCCCGAGGGGGTTGAAAAGGAGGTCACCGCTGAGGACAGGCCTGGCAGCTGGAGAATGCATGCCACCTGCCAGGTGGCTCTAGGCATTGTGTGAGGGTTTGTTGTGTTTATTTTTCACCTCTGTCCTCTCTAGGAGAGGACACTTTCAAGGTCACTGAGACTTTAAGTGCACCTTCTCCCGGATCCCTCTGGGTCCCTCTGCTTGGTCACGCTTCCAGCCCTGAGAGGCCAGGCCCTCTGAGAGGGATCTTGGAGTGCCGCCCGAGAGGCAGCAATGGGTGTATCCAGTAACACACATGCTGTTGGTGGGGTTGTTTTCCCAAAAAAGAAATTTAATTTCACCCCAAGTGTCCACTGCCACCCTGGAAACCCACTGGGGCACCAGAAAGGCAGCTTATTGGGTGTAACGCCTTAGCAGAGGTCAGCTTTCACACAAGGCCAACACTGCTGCCGTCTCTCCGATCGCTCCTCCGAGAGCCAGGCAGCCGTGTCTGCCTTTTCAGAGGGAGTGCCCCAGGTCCCATCTCAAGTTCAGACACTGGGCCCTCTTCCCCACCAGCCACCCCCTCCAGCAGGTCACCTCCCTGGTGGTCCCGGAGGGCCCCCCCCCACACACACACACCCTCACTAACACTGCCTTTCTCTGCCCTTCCCCTCCAAGGACGGCATGAACTGGGTCTGCAAAAACGTCAACGCCAAGAAGAAATAAAAGCTGCACGAATGGAGACGGAGGCGCAGGAACTGCGGGAGCCGCATTCTGCCCTGAAAAACACTCATTTGCTGCTTTCTGACCAAATGCTTCTCCATCTGTGCGCAGCACAGCTGCCTGACAGGAAGAGCGGCCCAGTTTAAGCGAGAATCCCTGTTCCAGCAGTAGGTTTAACTGATCTCTGAGGTTCAGTATCATTTTTCAAATAAAGGAATTATATTATTTCCTCTGCATAATTGAAATAGTATTAAATGTCTCAGCACATGATTAGAAAATGAGATCTTTTTAAATGAGCAAGAGATTACATTGCAGTTTAGACAATTCCAATGGCCTCTTTTTTTTCTTCCTCTTTCCTTTTTTAGGGGGTAGGAGGGGGGAAGAAAGAGGAAGGGGGCAGCCTGGGCCCATTTAATTTATGTACTGACCTGTCCCCTCCACCCACACTGCGGCCGGCCTTGGTGACTCTTAGCATCACCGAGTGAGTGGACTTCAGGCTGTCCAGCGTGAAGCTACTGGTGGGGGAGGGGAGCAGTGGCAGATGATTAAACCATGTTGTCATGCAGGTAGCAGACTGTGTGTGTAATCCTCATCCTTTGGACAGGGGCAGAGAACCCTTTCTGGAAAACAAGTCACTGCAGAACTATATGCCAGCCCCAGCGCCCACCCAGGCCCACCACCCAGGGAAGCAAATTCTTAGGACTTTTAACTGGAATGACATCTGAAATGTAAGGAGAGGTGGGAGGTTTCATTCCAGAAAAATTACAAGGTCCTTAAAAAGCCCTCTCACCCAGAGAGCCCAGGCCGCCGTGAACAGGCTGTCTCCAGTTCAGTGGAGCGAGGAGCAGCCGAGGAGATTAGCTGCCTCCTCCAGGTCGTCCTATAGAAGGGATTTCTGAAGCTCAAAGAGTCCTGTGTGGAACTGATCACAATAGGCCACTGATATCAGATTTTACAAAGAAATGCTGCACGACCATGAACCTGCTCCTCGGAGAAAAGCCAGGCTGATCGATTTTTTACAAGAGATCAATTTTCACTGAGCTGGCAGCTTTGTGGGGTGGGTTGATCCCAGGTGGACAGGGCCTGCTGCTGGAAAGAAGCAGGTGTGCGTTGCTGCCCAGGGGTCATGTCCAGGGAACTAGAGTCCGCCCACCTGCCCAGCCCCTGGCCCCCTGTGCTCCCCTCCAGCCCTGAGGCCCTCCGTTGGTCAGTCGGAGAGGAATGATCGATTTCTCCTGCCTCTTGGTGCAAACAGAGCTTGTGTTCTTGGGCCTTAAGGGAACGTCACCGGCTCCTGAATTAAACTCTGCCCTAAAGTCTGAGCACAGGGAATTTCAGAGGACAAATAAGAGACTTCCCAGGCCTGGCTGGTCCCAGGAGGCCCGCTGCCATCTCATCCCGAGTCTTGGCCTTCCCCGAGCCCACCAGGGCACTTGAGCAGAGCAGTGGGCCTCTCCTGGCCAGCTCTTGGTGCCCAGCCTTTTCTGGACAAGAATTATGCAGGTGAAACGAGCACGGCCAGTTTCCAAGGTGGTCTGGGGTGAAGGTCATTCACAAAGCTGGAGATGACCGGGTAGGTGCCCTCGGATTGCTTCATTGGCTTACCTGGGTTCTGTCTGTGGACAGGGCCAACGGAATTAACCAAAATTCCAGACTTACTGCAGCTGAGTCGATGCCCATTCAGAGCAACCCTGTAGGGAAGGGCAGAACTGCCCCTGTGGGTTTCCAAGACAGTAACTCTTTACGGGAGTAGAGAGCCTCGTCTTTCTCCCCAAGGTTTCAAACTGCTGACCTGGCAGTTAGCAGCCCAACGAATAACCACTGCTAGGGCTTCTCATTGGAATGATGAGGAATCAGAAATACCCTTTCTACCAGGCTCGCCGTGGCTCTTGATGCTCGGTGCCCTGAAGTTGCCACTCACAGCGACTCTGTACAGCAGAAGAAACAAACTCATAAGCCTTGCTGTTGATGCCCTGTTTGTTGGCAACCGCTGTGTCGGTCAGTCCATCTCGTGGAGGCTCTTCCTTTTTTCCACTGACCCCATGGACCTTTTCCACTAACTGTACCAAGCACGATGTGATGTCCTTCTCCAGAGACTGGTTGCTCCTGTTAACATGTCCACAGCACGAGACAGGTCTCGCCGTCCCTGCTTAAGGCCCAAGGAGCATTCTGGCTGTACTTCTTCCAAGACAGATGTGTTCGTTTTCTTGGCACTCTGCCGGGCATGGGATATTTTTCATCAACACGATCATTCAAAGGCATCCATTCTTCTCCGGTCTCCCTCGCTGACTGCCCAGTTTTCACAATACTATGACTTGGGTCGTGCACACCTTAGTCCTCCAAGTGACATCTCTGCTGTCCAGCCTTTTGGAGAGATCTTCAGCAGCAGATTTGCCCAGTGCATTAAGTCTGTGTGACGCTAGCACTTGAAATTGTCAAGTGTTTCAAGTATGTGGCTCTCTCCCTTGAAAATTGCTATCCCTCCAAATAATGCCCCCGGGCAGTGGGGGGTGGGGGGAACGGTGCTGTCTGTCTGAGGGGCGACATGCCAGCTTGCAGGCCTTCAGGTGGAACACTGCACCACACCTCAGTGTGTTGTGCTGGCAGTGAAAATCCCGAAAAGATTGTCTGTTCGTTTACCACCAATTTGGGGAGCTGTTGTCAAGAGCCGGCCCCAGGCCTCAGCTAGTGGGCAGAGCCATTTGCCCTCCGCTGGCTGCTAACCGCCTGGACATGTTCAGATTTGCTTTCCAGCCAAAGAGACACAAAGGCATTGTGGATGTCACAAGCTTTGAGGCCTGTGGAAGCCCTCCTGGGGCTCAGGGGTGAGATGAGAGAAAGCCTGGGAAATGCCGCGAGTTTGAGGGCTCCCATTTGTAAAAACAAAATGCTTTTAAAGTCCCCTTTCCGCTCCCCAGTCCCACCCTCACCCCCTGCGGCCAGACCCAAAGACCCGAATTTGAAGCTAGAAAGGGGATATCCCTTCCTCCATCCTCCCTCCCACCCCACAAGAAGTCAAGTCTCCAAGACTCCACTCCAGGCACCACTGCGTCCGAATTGGCTGGGGGGGGCAGGGGAGTGGGGTAGGGTTGGTGGGGTCAGAGGGCAGGCCAGGCCTGGGACCAGGGCCAGCAGCGATGGGCTCAAACCAACAGCGGGAATAACTGGATTCCTTCCCCTCCCTGCTCCCGGCCGGCTCCTCCCAAAGGGCAGACCGACCCGGGCAGTTCCTTCTGGCTGGATTCCCCGCGCCCCTTGCCGCACACCCTTTCCCCTCCGCGCTCCCTCGGTTACTATGGAAACAAGGGTGTCATTGATGTGGGCTGAGCCGGGGAACGTGTCGGTGCACAGCTGAAAGTCGGCGATTATGCGGGCGGTTAGAAGCGTCGTGCCGGGGTCACAGGCGCTGCAGCCCCCGGCGCAGCTGGGAGCGCTCGCTCTGCCCTGTCTCCGCTGCTCTCCCTCCTGGAGGTTTTGGACAAATTTCATGATTCCCCTCTGGGCTGCAGTGGCGGCTATTTTTGTGCCACTCTGTGCCCCACCCTCACTGTGGGCTACTCCTTATCCGGCCTGGCCTGGAGAGTGACACCATATCACCCTCACCAGGGCGCCGTCCCTCAGTTCCCCCCCCGCAGAGAACTTTCCTTCCTTTTCTCAGGGCAGGGTCCCTTTTATTTTTAGCTCTGCACTCCACTCGGCTTCAAGGTTCAGTCTGATGCACCAAAAGGTTTCTTTTTTTACAGTCCCTTTTGGAAATGATCATCAAAGGAAGGGACGTGGTGTTTGGTCATGTGGAAAACTCAATGTATAATTTAGACGTCTGTCAAAACCCCGACAAATAAAATCCTGCTGAAATGCAGGCAGCCTGGAATGCGCTCTTTGCCCAAGCTGGGATATGATATCTTTGTCCTCGCCGAGGTTAACGTTTATTAAGGTGTTTTTTCCAGAAGGATGTCATGCGAGCCCCAACAACCACCACCATCACCCAAAACAAAACCCCAACACCTTTGCCGCCACCTACTCATTCCTATCCGACGCACCCCTCCAGCACAGGGTTGACCTGCCCCACGGTTTCCAAGGCTGCCACCTCTGTCTCTGGTGGTGTGGAGCGGCTGGTGGGTTCAAACCACCGACCTTTTCAGTTAGCAGTGGAGCACTTCACCACTCTGCCATCAGGGGCCTTTTAAAAATTCCTTTTTTCATAGCAGGCACTCTACGTACCCCACAGGACAAGACGGGTCCCACTTCAGAGCCAGTTAAGGAATTTGCCCAGGATGACTCTTCTGGAGCGCAGGTGGGGCTTGATAGCTGGGTCTGAATGCAAGCTGCTTCCTTCCAAGGACAAGGTGAGAGTGACCTTCTCCCAGCAGGTAGTCTCATCGCCCTGCCTTCCTTCAGCACCCTCCAGCACACCCGTCCACACCAGGGTCCCCTCTGGCCAGCACTCCCCGCTGGGGTTCCCTGTTCCAGGTATTGGGTGGTGTCTCCTGTCCTCACAGCAGCACAACCATAGATTGTGGTTTGGGTTGGTTGCATTTCTTTAATTAATTGGGAGTTCATACATATATCATCCCATCGTTCAATCATGTCAAGCAGTGTTGTACACTTGCGACCACAATCAGTTTCCAAATATTCTTTTCCTTCCTGGACTCCCTGACATCGGCTCCCTTTGATGCCCCCTCACCACCCACTACCGTACCCCACCCCTCATCCCCAGAAACCCTTATTGTACTTGCTGTCCCTGTAGGTTCATCAGTCCTGGGGACAGCTATAGATTGTGAACCATCCTTTACACAGGGCCGGACCCCTAGGACATGAAAGAGGGAGGTCTTTCTGGTGGAGTAGCGGGCAACACATTGAGCTGCTAACCACAAGATCGGTGGTTCGAACCCACCAGCCACTCTGCAGGAGAAACACGAGGCCATCCATTCCTGGAAGGATACCCAGAGTGGCTGTCAGTTCTACTCTCTCCACAGGGTCGCTATTTGGAGGAACCAACCCGAGAGCAGAGAGAGAGAGAGAGAGAGAGTAAGTTGTTCTATAAAGAAGTCCTCTGTTCGCCCTTGACGATTCACCTAAAGCAGTGGTTCTCAACCTGTGGGTTGTGACTCCTTTGGGGGTCGAACAACCCTTTCACGGGGGTCACCCAATTCATCACAGTGGCAAAATGACAGTAACGAAGTAGCAACAAAAATAATGTGATGGTTGGGGGGTCACCATCACATGAGGAACTGTATGA